AAAGTTACTACAACTCCTAGGACTCTAGTGAAAGTAGCCTTGACTCTCTAGGACTCCAGTGAAAGTAGCTATGACTCCTAGGACTCCAGTGAAAGTAGCCTTGACTCTCTAGGACTCCAGTGAAAGTAGCTAGAACTCCTCAGGACTCCAGTAAAAGTATTTGTGACTCCCTAGGAATCCAGTGAAAGTATATGTGACTCCCTAGGACTCTAGTGGAAGTAGCTGTGAATCCCTAGAACTCTAGTTGAAGTAGCTACAACTTCCTAAGACCCCAGTGAAAGTAGCTATGACTCCCTAGGACTCCAGTGAAAGTATGTGACTCCCTAGGACTCCAGTGGAAGTAGCAGTGAATTCCTAGGACTCCAGTGGAAGTAGCAGTGAATCCCTAGAACTAGTGAAAGTAGCTGTGACTCCCTAGGACTCCAGTGAAAGTATATGCGACTCCCTAGGACTCCAATGGAAAAGCTGTGAATCCCTAGGACTCCAGTGCAAGTAGCTAGGACTCCCTAGGACCCCAGTGAAAGTAGCTGCGACTCCCTAGAACTAGTGAAAGTAGCTGTGACTCCCTAGGACTCCAGTGAAAGTATATGTGACTCCCTAAGACTCCAATGGAAAAGCTGTGAATCCCTAGGACTCCAGTGCAAGTAGCTAGGACTCCCTAGGACCCCAGTGAAAGTAGCTGTGACTCCCTAGAACTAGTGAAAGTAGCTGTGACTCCCTAGGACTCCAGTGAAAGTATATGCGACTCCATAGGACTCCAATGGAAAAGCTGTGAATCCCTAGGACTCCAGTGCAAGTAGCTAGGACTCCCTAGGACCCCAGTGAAAGTAGCTGTGACTCCCTAGAACTAGTGAAAGTAGCTGTGACTCCCTAGGACTCCAATGAAAGTATATGTGACTCCCTAGGGCTCCAATGGAAAAGCTGTGAATCCATAGGACTCCAGTGGAAGTAGCTACGACTCCGTAAGACTCCAGTGAAAGTAGCTATGACTCCCTAGGACTCCAGTGAAAGTATATGCAACTCCCCTAGGACTCCAGTGGAAGCAGCAG